TTAAACACCTAAAACATATTACTGAAGCCTAAGATAATTTACGAGTGTATTTTCTCTTTAAAAAATCACGAACAACAGTTTAGTTTGGGCATTATAACTCGGAATATCTATACATAATTGATAGCTTTATTTTATTCTACTTCTTCCGTGTGATGGATTAAAGGAAATAGAAATATCAAGAGCAGTAGGACACGATAGAAGGTTAATCGTGTAAATAAAACTACGAGAATGACAACAACACAACACACCCACTGCCTCGTGTCCTCATCTGCATATAAACTAAATCAAGTGTAGTCTCGATATCCAAATTGATTACAACGCCTCAGAACAATATCCTGAGCAGACTAAAGCGACTCATCAGCTTCATTGATCATAACGTTATCATGTCCTAACCTATACAATCAGTCTGTCTGCCTGTCTCTCTCTCACACACACACACACACACACCATCCGTTCACACTAAGAGACTGACAGCTGTGAGGGAACATGATGACAGCTGCATCACCTGTTGTACGTTGTGATGAAACAACACACCAGGTGCTGCAAGTTCAAAAGAGTATTATGATCTTTTTAAATATTCGTCCAAATAACCAGAGGACTAGCCTTCATTTTTTAGTTCATTTGGATATGGATCAGTGAGAGGGCGATGGTGGGGAGGGGGAGTCAGGATGTGTGGGGTGAGGTGGGTTATATTTCTTCCCTGAGGGTGACAATATAACTCGACTCACCATAGACAAGTTATATGAGCTAGCGAGTACAAACTTTAATATAAAACTTATGATAAATACACAAATAAATGTTTTATATATATCACATCCTTCAACCAAGTCGTGGGATATTGTGGTATTGTGCTTCGCTTTTGTTTCCTCCTCACCCACGGTTTATCGTACGTCAGAACACAATAATTCTCGAACCAGTGGATAGATTTTCTTGAAATTTGGTAAGGATATTGGTCCTTCTCCCCTCCCACCCCCCTCCCACCGACCCTCGAACCCCCACACCCCCTGTCAAACCTCCATCCTCCTCTCCCATGCGCCAAAAGAGGTCAGACGAATTTGATAATAGATACGATCCGATTATTCTGACCAAGGGATTAGGGGGAGGAAGGGGGCATTTGGAGACATTCTGTGCTCGACATTAAGCGGCTTCGTACGTCGCTGTGTCTGGCTAAACCCCAAAATTACGTTCTGGAAAATGGAAAATACGGAGAAAGAAAGCCTGAAGTATTGTGAGTGGGGTAGTAATGATTCCTGACCCGGATATATGAGAGATGAAAAATGAATATGGAGGAACCTTTTGGAGCAGGGGATAGTGGAAGAGGATGAGTGAATAGGGAAGAGGGAACAAGGAAGGGGGAAGAGCAAAGAGGAAGTAGTAACTGGCTATTCCATCGATTATCTTCACAGGAGGAAAAGAAACAATAGAGATAAACAAAGAAGTTAATCTTACCATAACATCCACTAGACCAAGAATGTGTTGCTCTCTCTCTCTCTCTCTCTCTCTCTCTCTCTCTCTCTCTCTCTCTCTCTCTCTCTCTCTCTCTCTCTCTCAACTCCTTCCCATCTCCCCCCTCTCTTTCTCCCCTCCCCTCCTTCCTTCTCTCCTTCCCTTCCCTCTCAGGTAGTGACAGCGGCCACCCAACACCAGGACACACAAAGCAGGGTTAGCCAGCTTTAACTCACATGGTCTTGCTGTGTGTGTGTGTGTGTGTGTGTGGTCTGATAATTCACTTTTTGTGGTCACAGCGGCTGTTTAAAGGTGATGTTTACTTTATACCCGAGTGTAAGGGAGGGAGTGAGGGAGTTGTGTTTTCTCCCTCACTCTCATGCCTCCTGACGCTATCCCTCACTCTTCTCCCTCCATTAACTAACCTAACCTAACCCCCCCAGCGTTTAGGATTAGGGTGTTTAATCATCAGGTGAAACAAGCTAGGAGGGGTGGGCTAGGAGGGGTGAGCTAGGAGGGGTGGTCTAGGAGGGGTGGGCTAGGAGGGGTGGTCTTGGAGGGGTGGAGCTGGGAGGGGTGAGCTAGGAGGGAGTGGGCTAGGAGGGTGGGCTAGGAGGGGGTGGGCTAGGAGGGGGGAGAGCCTGTAGGAGGGTGGGCCTAGGAGGAGAGCTAGGAGAGGTGGGCTAATATTCAGGTAATCCTAAATAACCTTCTACTAGGACAAACTTGAGGAGAATTAATCTAGACTGTGTTTCATATATATGTCTTACAATATCGTTTTTATTTATTTCAACTATTTACAATGTCAACAAATGGGGCAAGTGAGTAAAAGTAACAAGGACTTGATGTTGTTGTCTTGGTATCTCACCTCTCACACCCCCTCACCCTCCTCCCCCCTTTCTCTCACCTCTCACACCCCCCTCACCCTCCCTCCCCTTTCTCTCACCTCTCACACCCCCTCACCCTCCCTCCCCCCTTTCTCTCACCTCTCACCCCCTCACCCCTCCCTCCCCCCCTTTCTCTCCCCTCCCCTCCCTCCCACTTTCTTTCACCTCTCACACCCCTTACCCTCCCTCCCCCCTTTCTCTCCCCCCCTCCTCTCCCTCCCCCCTTTCTCTCACCTCTCCACACCCCCCACCCTCCCTCCCACTGCCACCACCTGTCACACCCCTCACCTCCCTCCCACACTTTTCTCTCCCCTCTCCTCCCCCCTTTCTCTCACCTCTCACACCCCCCCTCACCCTCCCTCCCCCCCTTTCTCTCACCTCTCACACCCCCTCACCCTCCCTCCCCCCTTTCTCTCACCTGTCCACCCCCTCACCCCTCCCTCCCCCCTTTCTCTCACCTGTCACACCTCACCTCCCTCCTTTCTCTCCCCCTCACCTCCCTCCCCTTTCTCTCACCTGTCACACCCCTCACTTCTCCCTCCCCCTTTCTCTCACACACCCCTCACCCTCCCTCCCCTTTCTCTCACCTCTCACACCCCCCACTTTATCTCATCCCCCCCCACTTAACATGTATGGGAGAGGTACATAAAGAGAGGGATGAATAAGAAGAGATGTAGATAACTGTCAAGCTCTGAGGGGGATGAGTGGGGGGCTTGAGTGGGGATTAAAGTGGAGTTGAGTGTAGTAGATTGAAGATGAGAGGGAAAGTGGGGGAGTTAATAAATCAGACAGGTATAGAGTGGGGGTGGAGACGAGAGGGACTTTTCGACAGAGAAATGGACGTAGTGAAGAAGAGTGAAAATGAGAGGGAAAGAGTAGGGTCTTCATAAATCAGACATGGACTATATAGAAGAGTGTAAGTGCTACTGATATGGGTGTGTCAGGGTGTGTTAGTGTGTGGTAGAGCATGACAGGGTGTGGTAGACTGTGGCAGAGTGTGGTAAAGTGTGGTAGAATATGACCAGAATGTGGGAGAGTATAATCAGAAAGTGTTAGGGTGTGGTAGTGTGTGTGTGTGTATATGTGTGTGTGTGTGTGTGTGTGTGTGTGTGTGTGTGTGTGTGTGTGTGTGTGTGTGTGTGTGTGTGTGTGTGTGTGTGTGTGTGTGTGTGTGTCCAGCCTAACAAACGCTCCTGAACTATCACCTTCAAACTCTGGGTTCCTGTTGGTCATCCTTTCAAGCATCTCTCTCTCTCTCTCTCTCTCTCTCTCTCTCTCTCTCTCTCTCTCTCTCTCTCTTTCTCCTCTCTTTTCTTTCTTTCTTTTCCTCTCACTGTCCTCTTTCTTTCTTACACTCTCTCTCTCTCTCTCCTCTCCCTCCTCTCATACACTCTCTTTGTCTCTCACACACACTCTCTCCTCTCTCTCACACTCTCTCTCTCTCTCTCTCTCTCTCTCTCTCTCTCTCTCTCGACATAGGTCATGTGTCAAGGTTATACACGGGTTATGTGCTTCTGCTTCTGACCTGCTTTGCTTCCTGCTGATCTTGCTGTTTGTCACTGATAACTTCTCCTCCCTCAAGGATATCTCTCTTGAGGGTGTATGTGTACGAGAGAAGAAAAACTGAATTCATCTCTCAGTTTATGTATAAGTCATGACAATATTCACTCTGGCTGGATTTCCCATGTGGGTGACACACACACACACACACACACACACACACACACACACACACACACACACACACACACACACACACACACACACACACACACACACACACACACACCGTTTCTTTCTATCTTGAAGCTATGAAATGAGAAAGTTTATGAAAAAAAAGCTAGCTTGTGGAGCTATATTTTCAACTATGCTAGATATCTAACTTGTTATCATATATGGTGCTTATATGGTGCTATATATACGACTGGTTATCATGTATGGTGCTAAACTTGTTATCACCGTGTTGAATCTTTAGGTCGTCGAGTGGGTGATACGAGTGACTGACAGCAAGGGCCTAGGGTGAGGGTGTCATATAACGAGTGAGACCTGTTAATGCGTCTCTCTCTCTCTCTCTCTCTCTCTCTCTCTCATGCTTTATCTTTCTTCTGTCTCTCTCTCGTTGTTTCTTTCTCTCACTGTCTATCTCTCTCTCTCTCTCTCTCTGTCTCTTTCTTTCTCTGTCTTTCTCTCTATTTTCTCTTTCTTCATCTGTCGCTCTCTCTCTCTCTGTTTGTCTCTCTGTCTCTTTCTTCCTTTATTTCTCTCTCTTCCTGTCTCTCAAATTTCTCTCTTTCCTTGTCTCTATATGTCTCTCTCTCTCTTTTTCTGTCTGTCTCTTTCAATCTTTCTTTATGTCTGCCTGTCTCTTTTACTCTCTTTCTCTCTTTCCTGAAAAAAAAAATCACTACAGAAAATGTTGTTATTGATGACTGAGTGACTGGCTGACGCTTGGGAGAATAAAGTTTATCATAGTTTTCCTGGACCGGTAAAGTATATTATGTACCGACTCTAAATATTGACCATTATCATTCATTAACCAGGTACACATATTCACCGAGACACATCATGATAGATAGTAACTTAGATCGCTTGACTATCCAACTCAAAACTCACATTATCACACCAGGTAGGAAAAAGTTTATATCTAAGTGATTATGTTTCTTTCAGATGATGAAAGTTGCCAAATGTCCCAATGAGGAGTTGTCCTTCACCAACTGCGTCATCGTCAACGAGAATGACTTCCCTCTTAAAGTCAGGTGAGTTGAGCGAGTTCTCTCCTTGTGATCGTTAGTTAAAAGCAAGACACATTATATACAGTGACCCCTCGTTTAACGAACGCCTCGGTTAACGAAATTTCGGTTAACGAACTGCCTTCCATAAGGATCTTCAATTCGGTTAACGAACAAATATTCGGTTAACGAATTTCTTACGAACCGACCTCAACATGTTTTCGCTTGCACTGACCGGGCAACCAGCTTTAGTATCAGTCCGCCAATACATTAATCGGTTCTAGGGCTTAAATTCCTTACTATTTTAGTAAATATCAAGAAGTTTATACTATTCAATAATTTTAAAAGAAGTTTAATATTCAATTTTTAGTCATTTTAGCAATTATTGAACATAATTGAAGGTAAAGTGAGCTAGTTTGTCGCGGCATCCCAGCCTCTTAACACAGCAAACAGGAGTTAGTCTCTCTCTGTTTTCACTGGAGGTAACATCTTGCTTGAGACTCTCTTCAACTAAACGCTTTTTTCTGTGTTTCCAAGCAAATTATTGGTCATTTTGAAATATATTTTACATATTGACAATAAATAATGCAGTGCAGTGTTGATTTAAAGAAAATAATCTTGAAATACACCAAGAGAACTGAAATTTTATGGGTGAAATGGTGCCATGGGGTGACTTCTCTTCCACCCCAATGCCTTCTCTTCTTCCTTCTCCTCCACCCCCATTCTAATTCCCATCACCATCATCATCCAGGAGCCTTCTACATACACACCTCAAAGTAAGTGAACTTTTCTACCATTTTTGTTGAATTTAGGCAATTTTCGGTGAGCTGGAACCAATTACCCAAAAACCCATTGAAACAATGGTTTCGGTTAACGAACTTTTCGGTTAACGAACGACCTTCTGGAACGGATTGAGTTCGTTAACCGAGGGGTCACTGTACTACACAGGGCGGTCGATGAGTGACTCATTGATTGTGGAGATATAACACAGTTTACTTTTCACTCATCCACGAGTTTCAATTTTCTTTGTTATGTTAGTTGTTATTATTATTATTAATATTATTATCATTATTACTGTTATTGTTATTATTATTATTATCGTAAGAAAACGCAACACCAAAAAATTATTAGAAATAATAAGAATTAATTAATAACAACATAACAGCAGTAATAACAAGGTAAAGATAAGAACAGCAATTAAGAAAGGTTAATTTCATGATGGCCGTGATGAGTTATTACTGCCGTGTAGATGGTCAGTGTCACCTACAGCTGTGTTGTACTGCACTAACCTATTATAACCCAACATAGCTGCCTTAACCCTTTACACCCTTTTCCCTTCACCCCCCCTTCTCTCCTCCTTCCCGGGGCAGACAATACCATACAGCCTAACGGTACACTCAAGCTCTATGGTTCACTACACGAGAGCTGATGTTCTTGTCATTTCTATAAAGGCTAATATTCCTTTACTAAACATTACAATAATTTGGTGGACTCATTAACCTCACATCTAAACAGTAACGCTAACTTTGAAGGGAAGTTTCAATTTAATTTCTTATTTAAAAGAATCATACAGTACTGTACTTTGATTTGTTTATCTAAAAAAATTCTACACTGGATGATTTAAACTTTCATATAACAGGGTGTATCAGAAATAAGTACAGTATACACATTACCTTACATGAAAATTTATAAAGCAGTGTGTAACTGATAATTAATTTACCATTAATCTTTTGACAGGTACATCCAAGTCACCAATGAGATGGGGAAGCACTTCATCTACACCATCCGACATGACCGCGGGGTGAAACCAGGTCACATGGGGTTCAACGCCATTCACCGCAAGCAGGCGATGCTTTCACTGGATCAAGAGGTATACCATCACACCTTCATTTTTTACCTGTGCGATAGATAGATAGATAGATAGATAGTTAGTTAGTTAGTAAGTAAAATAGACACACAAGGTCACATTAATTCCGCATGCACAGTTCACGCCACTTAATGTGTAAGCCACTCAGACTGGCGGCGTCAAAATTCATAACCAACAACTTCACTTTTACTATTATCCTCTTCACCAATTGATCGGCTCGTTAGCCACTTGGGCGATTGGTCACGTCTCTGTTACTTTTCTTTCTCATTTTATCCTCTTCACCAATTGATCGACCCATTCCTCCCCACCTCCCAAAACATACAATTAATCAGAGGTCAGCCAAGGTGTAAGGTCAAGGCATACCCCTGAATACATTAGTATGGATAGGTTTTAGAAACAGAGAGAAAATACACTTTTAAAGTTATTTAGCCATGCTAACGTGTTCAGGGGTAAGCCTTGACTTAACATAAAAACTTAATCTATGCATCGAGGACTACCTATACTGAGATAATAAACAAAATTTCATGGAAAATGCTATAATTAACCAGGGAAATTAATTATCAAACTCCAGTGACTTTTAGAACAATTAATTATCAGAATTTCAATTTTATGGCCATAGATCCTTAATTTGCACGTTGAGGAATTCAAACTGCAGTGTAATGTCAACGCTTACACACGAACACGCTAGCATGGATAAATAACTTTAAAAATGTGTTCGGGGTAATCATTGACTTTACACCTTGGCTGACCACTGATTAATTGCCTGGTTTGTATGTTTCGGGAGGTGGGGGAATGATGGGCCCAGCAAAGTTGCCCATTAAGAATTTTGAGGCCACCAGTCAGTGTAGTTTATAAGTGGCATGGACTGTACAGAGACAGTAAGTCAGTACTCAAGGCCAACTGTGTACTAATCAATTTGAAATTCAAAACACTTTCTTTATACTACCGAAAAGGAACTATTGCTTAGACAATACCAAACTCTTAAAATACTCTTAGAGCTTTAGTAAACAGACAACAGGGATTATCAGATTTAACGGAGTAAGTTATTAAAAAAATCTCTAAAGGAGTACAGTACTACAGCTCAGAAAAAAACAGGAACTCAAATAATTCCCCCAGTTAACTCCTGGTGTAAATTATCTGTGATCTTATTTTATAACATGAAGAACATGGTGAACTTTTATTCCAACTGATTTTTAGGTCACTGTTTATTGCACGTTCTAAAATATAATGGTATTTCATTTAGGATTCTCAAATTGTATAAAAAAAGACCCTTTGTTATATAAAAATATTTCAAATAATATATTTTTCTGTTTGGACTGACAGATCCGGGTGGAGCCATATGTACACGACCCTCAGAGACAGCTTGTGGGTTCCTTGGTGCTGGAGGCAGATTTCCTCCAGAAGAAAAGCACCACTAATGACCCTTATAACACGGACCAGATGTCTATGTCCTTTATGGAGCAGTTCGCTAAACACGGGTTCACGGTGGGCCAGCCTCTTGTCTTTAAGTTTCAGGACAAGAAAACCCTCTCTTTAACTATCAAAGAGATTGAAGGTTTGTTAAATTTATGGGTTTATCTATATAGTGTATATGTAAACTATATATCCACTGTGTAATGTAATGCCATGTGAACATAACCTGGAAGTAAAGTCAATATTATAATTGTATTACTTGGTCAGTTTCCTGGAGTATACAGTTGAGGTAATGTGTGTTTACAGCGGCTGACCCGGAGGCTGTGGCATCAGGCAAGAAGCGGGAACCTCGCAAGATCGACTTTGGTGTCCTCCAGGCAAACTCCTCACTGGTGTTCGAGAAGAGTGAAGGATCATTCTTAATTCTTACTGGGAAAGCAAAGGTATGTACACTCACCTGCACTCACACCTGGTGCAGTGGCTGGTGCATTTTGTGAGATGTTACAACTCTGTGGAATGTTTATCTAGCATCCAAAGACTGGCTTCTATCGTCACATTCATTAAGGCCATTCTGGGAGCTTTAATAAGATGTAAACAAACACCAATTAGGCTAGGTCAGCGTTAGGCTAGTTAATCTTAAGGTGAAATAAGCGGGGGGTTAATTTTCATGTGATTCACATATCCAAATGTGGAAGTTTAGGCAGTAAAATAAAACCCACGTCTTTTACAGGCCCGCACATCCCACACCAGCCTCTTCAGCGCTGACTGGGACTTCCAGAAGATGGGTATTGGTGGTCTGGACGAGCAGTTCATCCACATTCTGAGGAGAGCCTTCGCCTCCAGGGTCTTCCCTCCTGAGGTCACTGAGCAGCTGGGCGTCAAACACGTCAAGGGAATCCTGCTGTATGGTCCTCCTGGTGTGTTCAGTTGACAGCTTCTCACGTTGGCTATCTTACTATACAACACAACATCCTACACAAAACCTCAAAACCAAGTCTACCTTATCAAAAATTATGAGTCGGAGAAGATTTACACCTGGTAGAAATATTTACCTCTGGTAATCCTTCAGTACTATATTGTTTATGTGTTAACTTATATCTTCCTTACAGGAACTGGAAAGACACTGATGGCACGTCAGATAGGCAAGATGCTCAACGCTCGTGAACCAAAGATTGTGAATGGTCCTGAGATCCTCGACAAGTACGTGGGTGAGTCAGAAGCTAATGTCCGCCGTCTGTTTGCTGAGGCTGAGGAAGAAGAGAAGCGGATGGGACCCAACTCTGGTCTACACATTATCATCTTTGACGAGATAGATGCTATTTGTAAACAAAGAGGCTCTGTAGCTGGCAACACTGGCGTGAATGACACCGTCGTCAACCAACTGCTGTCCAAGATTGACGGTGTGGAGCAACTGAACAACATCCTGGTGATTGGCATGACCAACAGGAAAGATATGATGGATGACGCCTTGCTCAGACCCGGACGACTTGAGATTCAGGTAGAGATCAGCCTTCCAGATGAACAAGGCCGCTTTGATATCCTCAAAATCAAAACAGCAAAGATGATGGACCACAACAAACTCGACCATGATGTGGACTTGGCAGAGATTGCTACCCTCACCAAAAATTTCTCCGGTGCCGAACTTGAAGGTCTTGTCAAGGCAGCTTCCTCCTCCGCTTTAAAACGTTACATTCATCTAGGAAATAAGATCGAAGTAGATCCCAACGCCATCGAAAAGCTTAAAATAACACGATCTGATTTCATATATTCACTTGAAAATGACGTAAAGCCATCATTAGGCACAAGTGATGAAGCATTAGCTAAGTTTATTGAGCGAGGAATTATTAACTGGGGGTCAACAAGAGAATTAGTCGAGAAGGGTATGATGTTCGTAAAGCAGGCCAGATCACCAGAGACCAGCAACCGCCTTTGTTTACTTCTTGAGGGAGCACCAACCGCTGGCACCTCTGCAATGGCTGCGTATCTGGCCAAGAACTCCGACTTCCCCTTCATCAAAGTTATTAATTCCCGCGAGATGGTTGGTTTTATGGAGTCGTCCAAATGTCTACGGATTAATAAGATATTTGACGATGCTTACCGCTCAGAGCTCAGTTGTATCTTCATGAATGACTTGGAACACTTGATGGGCTACTCACCCATAGGGCCACGTTATCAGTCTCTGGTCCTTGATGCCATGTACTCTCTCCTCTCAGCCTCACCACCCAAGGGTAGGAAGCTGCTGGTCATCTGTACATCTAAACGTCGAAGTGTTTTAGAAGAGCTTGGTCTCCTGTCAGTCTTCACTGCCGTCATCAGAGTTCCTTACATCACACACCAAGAAGACATTAAGCTGGTGCTGGATGAGTCTCAGGCGCTGACTCCTGATGAAGTAAGTACTGTATAGTACGTCATATTTCTTATAAAAGGAAGATACAAACAAGTTATTAGTTCTTACAAGAGGTTGGTTCAACTGAATCATTAGTAATATTTTTCGTGATTGTAAAACAGTTTAAAATTTATGAATATAATTTTATAAGCTCATGAAATGTGAACATGTTATAATTTGGCACTGTATGTCTGTCTGTTTGTTCATGCCCAAGACACTTCCAGTTCACCCAGCTGTGAATGGGTACCTAACTTTACAGTTTAGAAAAGAAGGCGGTCAAGTACTCACACTGTCCTATGGCACCCATTACCACTATCACATTCTAACAATCTATTCTATATTCACAGATTGACGCAATCATGGATCACATCTGCCACGGGAAGGTGTTCGTGGGGTTGAAGAAACTGCTGGGTCTGTTAGATACTATGAGGGTAATGAAGGGTGTCGAGTCGCGCAAGAGGGTTGCCTCCTTCGTCAACTTACTGGAGGACGAGGGCGTTTACACTCCAGAACTTTAGAGTTAAGTGTGAGCAACAAGTGTAAATATTATTGTGACTGTCTGAGGAGGAGATACTTGTAACAGATAACATGAGGAAGCCATAACAGACATGTTGAGGAAGTGATACAACAATGTGAAAATTATGCAAGAAAATATGTGAAAACCATGTCAAAAAAGAAAAATAGGTGAAAATTACACAGAAAAAATACAAACAATCTTTCTTCACTATAATCACAATTGATATCACTGTATGTCAGGACTTAGGAGGTCAATTTTAACCTGGATGTAACAGAATTTTATAATCCATCAAGAAAATGGTACAAAAACTTGGTAATTTACTGCTGTTTACTGTGCTGTTGGAGGCTCATAATATTAACATAATCTGGAGATTATATTAAAGAGATATTAGAACTGTTTAATAGAATTCATAAGTTCTGGAATAAAATATTGTTGTTGTATTATTTGATATACTGAGTTAAGTAAAATCTCAGGATATATTAGATAATTTGACTCAGTTTTTGTAACTTTCAAAGCTATTAGGAATCCTCATCAACTATCACTATATATAGCTATCAACACCATGTACCGTCAGTTACTGTGACGTATGATGGTGTGAACATTCGTCTCTTGGTCTCTTATTATTATTTATATAGATTATTTTTTGTAAGGCAATATTAATAATAATATGTGATTCATCAGTACACAATCATCTGTTTTTCACTAGTTTTGTAAGGAAATTCAAAGGTAGGCCATTAAGTAGAGAATAAAATATGATAAGAGGAAAGGATTGTGGAGAAATTATAGAGATGTTTGATGAGATATTATGTCGGTCGACTTGTGTGTTCATAATGGATAGGGAAATGGATGTTGGTTATGTTATGTCACATTTCAATAAACAAGTGTGGTCAGGTAATGGATGTTGGCTACATTAAGTCACTTTTCAACGAATATCTGACAGTTTGATCTGGAAAGATGAGAATCATGACTAATTAAACGTAGCCATAATGATATATAATGTAGACAAATAGCATATAGATACTGTTCAAACACATGAACACTATACCAATTAAAAGATAAATGGATAAAACTTAAAATAACATAATTTAACAATATCCCAAACCATATGAGGGAAAGGCTCTCAAAATATGGGTTAAATATAACTGTGGAAGGAAATAAATACATATGTAAGTTTCGTAAGTCCCAAGCTGTTTATGAGAGCAGTATGCCGTGACTTGATCCAACTCATTTCACAAAGGAACGGCTCTGCATGACGTATATTTTAAATCCTAATACTCACAGAGTTATTTAAATATACAAGTTAATAATGTTATAACTTTTTCCAGAACGATTTCTTATCAAGGCTTACTTACTTAGAGGTTGTTGATCCGTACAAGTTGATGAATATTTACTTCTTGTTTGTTGACACGAGGAAAATTACTTCCGAGTTGTGAAGAGATACTCGAAGGTCACATAACGGAGAATAATTTATTGCAACTTAAGAAAAGAAAAAACAAAGATTTTAATTGTATACTACTATGTTAATTTATCAAGAGTTGTGGCAATTATTAAGTCTAATAAATCATATCATACCAGTGTAGTTACATACGTAGTTACAAATCTTCCATATAGTTTATTCTATTTGCATATGTACATTTTTTTATATATTTTTTTAGTTTAAAAGTTTATTTATTGTTACCATAGAGATCATTACTCGGAATGATAAAGGTGAGAGTTGGTGTTGGTAAAGGAGATTGAACTTAATTGAACTGTTTCCTGTTACTACATTAGGAAGACTTAAAAGGGATGAGCAGGAGTGATTCTGAGCCTTGATAACAATATATGTAAATATATTGATTTTGAGAGTTGTTATATACATATATATATATGTGAGTGTGTGTGTGTGTTTCATGTTCTACTTATTATTGTTATTCACCTCTGTGCTGGTCCAAGATTTACAAGTGTTTTAAAAGATATCTAGTCTTTCAGTATGATGTGCAATTAAATATTCTTTTATAGAGGCAGGTGGAAATAATTTTTTCTTCCTAGTATGCATTTAATGTATATTCTTTGGAAGTGTTACACATAACAAGAAATTGAAATAGAAAAAAATAACAGGGTGGCCCTCGGTATGGGTGTCCAAGCTGATTTAAATTAATAGTGTGTTAGGCTGTCCGTACATAATTTTATCTCGTTCAGTAGTTATCAGGAGTGCGACAGTAACACTAATGTCACCATACTATTGACCTGAGGAGTGCCCGTTGTAGTTATTGTGCCCTAACTAACTTGACCTATAAGCAGCATAATTCATTCAGAGAAAATAATTTAATTTGTCTTTAAAATTACGTTCAGTTGTTCTTATGTTTTTTTTTTTTAATACATACATTAAACAAATGGAAAAAAAAGACATTTCCTTCAACTGTTGTCTGGGCAGTGGTGGTGAGTGAGGTACATTACTGAAGCGCTCGCTACCAATCTTTCATATCATTCCATCAAGGTTAAATATGTCATAAAAATCTTCTCTGGGGAAGACACCAGACACTACACGACCCCGCGTGATATAACAAACAGACTCAACCATCTTTGTAGGACCACCTTAAAAAAAAAATAACAATATTCACCTTAAACACAAAAAAAAAAATTACTGCTGTTCTGAATTTCAGTTGATCTGTATAACATGCAAATCAGCTTAGTCAATGTTCGCTTTAACGTACATGATGCGAAGCTGAAAACCTGTTTTGTTAAGAGGGTGCATGTCAACCCAGTATATGTTAAACGGGTTTACGTTAGCTGATGTACGTTAAGCGGATTTACATTTATGCTGGTGTACGTACGTTAAGCGGACACTGGCTACACATAAATCAGTAGTTCCCTAAAAGTAACAGAATGATATTTGAAGAATTTACACCTAACAATATTGTGTCAGGTTCTTGATGGTGTACTTTGAAGACCTCTTACATAATTATTATGCAGTATGTCACTGGATAAAGCACATTGATAAGATGACATGGTGACATCGCGAGGGAGAAGACTTGGTTTAGAGTTAACAATGATATGTTAGTTTTATATTCTAGTGCTAATGATTTTTATATTGTAAAGTAACAGATTTCATTTAATATTGGTAATTTGAGAATTTGAGTTAAATTTATATGATAGTCATGATTTACGTATTCAAAGTTACATATTTGATTTGTAAGTGATATTTTTTAGTTTGTTTTATATGCTAGTTTTCACAAATGTATTCAGATTAACATATTTTACAGTACAAACTACAGACCAATGTATTAATTTCCATCATGATAATCTCCACATAATTATACTCTTTTGTTGTAAAGAGAAGTTACGGCTGTAAATTATCATTAATATGTGTCTTCGATAATTTTAGTTTTATATATAAAATAATTTGCTGATAATTACATAGAGATAAATTTTGTTTAAGATCAAATTATGGGATACGTTTTAGTGGCTATTCAGGACAAGAAAATGAAATTAGAAAAAAATAAAAAATATATATAATAAAATGTGATTAGGCAATTCAAGTACGTTTTATTTTCCTTTGGTTGATTGGCAATTACGGTATAAGTTTATTGCTCATACTGTATACTGTTACTACACTGTTTTGATGATACATAAACTGTGGGGTGTGTTAGTCAAATATAACTACACTTTCAGTACACTGCCTTATAAATAAATAGCTGTGATGTTTTTTTTTTAATAATTACATTGTATATCAAGTGCCTTCATAACGTCAGTGGTGAAGTAGTAGTAGTAGCAGCAGCAGTAGTGTAGTGGATCCTCTCCCCTACAACTACCAACTTAACATGGCGGCGGGAAACAATCATTCACATACCTGGAGATGCGTTGAGGAAGAGTCACGAATGTGTGATTTTTCCTTGTGCATCCGTATTTACGTGAGCCTGGGGCAGTTCCGCCCCATGCATGCATACCAGAAAGGCTAATTAATCTCTTCAATTTGGTCGCTGTAAACACACCTATGAACATCAGTGTCATAGGTCAGGCTAATTTCCTACGTATTTTTATAATCTAATCAGAGATTGAGTTTGTCAGGAAAAAATGATATGGACGTTAAACACGCACTAACAACTCTACTTACCGGAAACCACAAACCACAGCCAAGGAATTCTTCCTGAGAAGAGCCGTTAGGTTTTGGAGATTTTGAGTTTGACAGAATCTTTTCAGTAGATTAATGACTTTCTAAAATAGACAACTGACACTAATTAAACTACAAACATTCGATTCTCTGATGTTTGGGCATCACAATAATCTAACTTCAGTATCACTTGGGAACTCATGGCTATCCCCAAGGACGATATAAAGATATGCCACTCACACTGACAAACTCAACACTCACTTACTTGACAAGTTTTAATAACAATAAGGACAGTTTAAGCTTTCAACATCACTCACAATGGATCTTGAATGTTCCAACTGTAATCATACATATTTAAGTTGCCTCAACATATGCAACCACAGTTGCAATTTCAAATTCTGTCATTATACTAAGGAATAACGAAGTCCCGGGTGCAGCCTAGGATTGAGAGAAAACGGAGGAGTCAGGCGTCCTGAAGCGATGAGAAAACGGACTTTTTTGATGGGGGACTCAAGTAAAGAAACCATAGCTACATGTTTTGTGGGCTATTGAGCGTAATATGAATCGTCTGATTTTACATTAACTGACGTGTACAACCGTGGTCATCACACTATTACTGTGTACACTGTATCTCCCTATGAATGGTGTATTGTAGGTTTCAGTCCTTGAGAGAGCACACAAACAAAATAAAAATAAAAGTCTCTATGGCACCAATAATACAACTTGGTTTCTGCTGACAGTGGTGCCTTACCAGCCTGCTTGCCAATTTGTATTCGCTTTAAGTTATTTACAACGTCTCTTCCGCGGTCACTGGTGACACTATGAACTGATTTAACTGAAGGGACAGTACTACACTCCCTGGTTGGCCTTTGGGTGGTCAACCCCAGCCGTGACCACAACTCGTAAGACAATATAAAATAAAAGTTTTGTCATATGGCAATGATTTTGTGGTTAGTTGTAGGCCTCTTGACCTGGGCTGTGCCTTCAAATCGGTGGAGATGAATTTTCAAATATACAATCGCGTCTGGCATTAAAGATCCTACATCGATTTACACTCACATCACTAAGACGATATGTCTATCTATCTATCTGTCTATCTCTATCTTTATCTATCTATCTATCTATCTATCTATATCTCTATCTATCTCTATCTCTATCTATCTATCTATTAATCAGCGGTAATCACCCAATAAGGTCCGGTAATTACCATTATTGTAGTCGGGAAGTAATTCGTCTATATTTGTTTGCATGTAAGGTTTTCTGAGTTAAAGGTTTAATTAATTTGAAAAATATTATATTATTCTTTGATAAAAGTAAATGGGTTGGTAATATTAAAGTATTTATTATATATAATTGAGTAAATTAGTAATGTTGGCAGCCCTGATTCAACACATTGTTGTTCCGAAGCTGAACAATTTGGAGTACTGTAAAGTATTCTTACTTCTATTTACTTTTCCGTAAATATTTTTGGTTGTTTCTTTTATACGCTACGATATAAATTAATTTACCCTAAAAAAAATTATTAAAGCTTGTATGTGCGATTAAGGATGAATTTATTTGTTAATATTCCCTCATTCGGATATATTTTTTGGCAGCAAGAAGACAGGCGATTGGCTGCTTGGGTTGACAACTTGGCACGGGAAACGTCAGTGTGAAGTGAGACACGGGAGGGGAAGGTGCTGTCGGTCGTCTCTCTCACTTGATGGACGCTGTTCGTAAAATGTATACAAGTTTTATTTTAAGTGGTTACATTTATACTTGTGTTGATATATTAAGGTTATTTATTTCTCGATTTTTTACCCATTTTTAAAATGAAATCCTTTAATTGGACTTGAAAAATATATATTAAGATACGAGTTAATTTATTATGAACAAGCATAGGTTAGTGGTCGTTAACGCCCGCAGTCACATTGACCAGTTACTTTAAGAGAATACTTTAGTACTTCGGCTTCTGCTTTTATTTAAATTAAGACTTTGTGAATATTTAAGTAACGTTCCTCATACTTGGTGTGTTTTGGTCTTGTATGTTACTGGATTTAACTTTTAAGTATTTGTTACTTGTAATATTTTTCGGTTAATATTGGTCCAAAGGTTCTCGCCATGTTTACCTGAGGTTGTACTCACTTGGTAGTCTCCTCCTTACCTATCCCTTATAGGTTAGGTAGGTAGGTAGTTTGGTTGTTTCCTTTGGTTAATTTTTTGTGTGTGTTTTACTCGCATTTTACCTATTTTTGTGCAAATTAACAGTTTGTTAAAAACGAATCTTTTTTTTTTTGCAAAAACCGCTAATTTGCAAATGAAATGGTCAGATTTTAGTATACAAAATACTGAAAAACTATAAATATAAATAATATATATATATATATATATATATATATATATATATATATATATATATATATATATATATATATATATATATATATATATATATATATATATATATATATATATATATACTCGTACCAAAACCTGAGAACAGCCAATGGGCTAATGTTTAGTTTTCTTTTCTTTACAAGTGATGGATCCAGTTCCTACTATTGTGTTAAAAGTCCAGTTTGCTGCAACGGTGGTCGCCAGTGTGGATAGTACAGCACCTCATGTTTTAGGTAAGTTTGTGCAATCTTTTTCGTTAATCACCCATCACCATTTTCTCCATGAAAAAAAATATATTTTTTCTCTAGTTTCCTTGGGGCAATTCACTTTATTACCCAAGCCTTCCATCCCAACAATATTGGGGGATTACTAACAATATTACTTGTTTCAAGTGGGCAGGGCTTTTAAAGTAGAGGGAAAATGTGGGGTAAAATACTATAAACCCCAAACAGCCCTTAGAAAACCTGACCTAACGTTTCCTAACTTATAAAAATCCTAAGGCAAGTTTACCTTGTTCATATTTTGTGTTTAGTAGGGGGTGTTTTGGGTGTTCAGATGAGGGCTGTATAAATTAAGCGATTAAATTTTTTTTGTTAGGGAACGTTAGGTCAGGTTTTCAAAGGTTTGTTTGGGGTTATTTTTAGTACTTTACGAGACGGTGTGTTACCATAAAATTGGGACTTGAAAAAATTTGTGATTACAACAAATAAATCTGGAATATCGCGTTTAATTTTGGAATGTCCCGCTAAATTCAAGTATTTTCTTTTGTTTCTCGATGAAATCTATTAAATGGCAAGAGAAAAAAATCGGTAAAAGGTGATGGGTGGTAAACGATAAATTACCGTTTATTCTATAGAGAAATGCAAGTCTGCTCCAATAACTTTGCAACTGGGGTCAAGGTGTGGTCGATCACATCTGGACACTGGCAAGTACTGGGCATGTACTGTCCTGTATGTACTGTTGGCAAGTACTGTACTGGGCATGTACTGGCTGTTACTGTTGACAAGTATTGGACATGTGCTGGCTGGCCCACACACTATCAAACCTATTTGTTCATTCATCCTACATCGCCACACACTTTACAACTAGAATGATCAAACTTCACTTGGTGTGTGGTACGTGTCGCCTCAATGCATGAGTAAGGAGGAAGCCTGTATTGCTATTATACTTGCTCTTGAAAAAGACTTCAAAGTAGAAACGAAAATTGTGGAAGGGGGAATGGCACAGACCCCAAGTTCTCTCACGACGCCCTATTTAAAGAACTAGTGGTATAAGATAAGTACTTTAAGAATAGATAATGAAACTGGTTGAACTGTTGGAGAAAGTGACGCCATACATAAAGGACAGTCTCGAAATGCCATACCAACAAGTCACTCTAGTACACTGCGGTTCCTGGCAACAGGCCAGTCTTATCAGTCGGTGGCCTTGGTCGCAGTAGGTATAATTTATTTCATCTTTTCCACTAATTTCCCATATCATTCTTGTGTAAGAGATGTATTCTTGTTATCTTCATTTTATTTGCCACAATGGAAACTGTTTATAAAGTTCAATAAACTCTCCAAAACTCATGAGGCCCGTATGCTCACCACGGCTACTGCTACTCTTACTTTTATCCTCTTCACCACTGGTCGGCTCGTTAGCCGCTTTGGCGATCAGTCACGTCTGTTATGCACTGTTGGCAAGTACTGGGCATGCACCGGCTCCTGAATGTACTTGAACCTGCTCCAGTGTTGGTCAAGTCTGGTCTTGAAAGAGCTCACACTGTGCCGTCACAACACTTTTTGGTAGATTGTTCCAAGAGTTCACAACTCTCGCTTCGAAAAAGTTTGCCCTCACAGTTTTCTGGACATGCGGCTTTTTCAATCTTGACCTGTGACCCCTTGTGGGGCTAGCGTCCGCCAGCTCCAAGTAAGGACACTCGACCGAGTAGTGCCCCTTGAGATACTTATACACCTCAATTAGGTCATCCCTTGCCCATCTGTGGTATAAGCTAGGCAAGTTCAGGTGCTCCAATCTCTCAGGGTAGCTGAGGTGCCGAAGTGCAGGC